CAACTACCGAAGTTCAAGACGTTATTAACCTATTTAAGAATAAAGCTACTCTTGACACCAAAATCCAACCACTCAAAATTGCCAACAGCTGTCATAATTTTACCACTGTATTGGCCCACGTTGTTAACAGCTCGTTCGAACAAGGGGTCTTTCCCCAAGCCTTGAAAACGGCAAAAGTAGTTCCTGTACACAAAGGTGGATCTAAAACTGACATCAAAAATTACAGACCGATATCTCTTCTTGCCACTTTCTCAAAAGTCTACAAAAAGCTTATGCACAATCGAGTCATAAATTTCTTGGATACCTACAATATACTTTGTGAAAATCAATACGGCTTCCGCCCAGGTAGGTCTTGTGAACATGCCCTTCTTAATGCTAAAGACAGAATCCTCAATTCAATGTCCAAAAAGCAAGTTACTTTGCTCCTTTTGATTGACTTTAGCAAAGCCTTTGACCTTGTGGATCACACCATACTCCTGAATAAGCTCGAGCACTATGGCATAAGAGGTCTAGCTTTAAACTGGTTTAAATCATATCTTATGAACAGAAACCAGTTTGTATCAATTGGATCCTCTGAATCCTCAGCCAACCCCATTATTTACGGTGTACCCCAAGGTTCAATTTTGGGACCTCTCCTTTTTATAATCTACATAAACGATCTTCCTCAAATATCAGAAATAGCTAATTTCATCATGTACGCAGATGATGCAAACATTTTCCTAACAGGAGAAAATATAAACGAGGTTTATGATAAGCTCAAAATTCTTAGCGATGTCTTAGTTAAATGGGTAGATAACAACGGATTAGCTCTAAATCTTAAAAAAACGAATTATATGATCTTTTCTCGGCAAAGAAACCTCATTTATCGCGATGTAGTAATTTCTGGTGTCACAATCGAAAGAAAAACAGAAGCCCGTTTCTTAGGAGTTATAATAGATAACAAACTGAACTGGTCGCAACATATTTCTGCCATGAAAATGAAAATGGCCAGATACATTGGAGTCATGTACAAACTTAAAAATTATTTGCCTCTGGAAGCACGTTTACAAATATATCACAGCTTTGTGCAGTCTCACCTTAATTACTGCTCCCTCGTCTGGGGTTTTGCTGCCAAATCCCATATAGAAACACTATTTGTAAAACAAAAAATGGGTCTTAGAGCAATACTACCAGGTTTTGTTAATTACTGGTACAAAGACGGTACACCACTAGCAAGTACCAAGTCTGGTTTCTATGTACACAAAATATTGACAGTTCATAGTATCATCGTAAAGAACGCATTAGTTTTTATACATAAGCTGAAAAACTTCCCAAGTTTAGTGCCTCCCTCTATAAAGAAAACAATACCTAACAGTGCACCAATATTTAACGTCGCCGATCCGGATTCGAGTCTTACAACCACATGGTCAGATGAATACGGTAAATACCCTTACAATAATTCAGTATTCTACAAAGGTCCACTACTAGCAATAAACAGATATAGTGTCGCAGCAACTTCCTTGCCAAGTCTATTCAACCTTAATATCTACAAAAGGTGCATAAAAAACATGCTCATTGATCAACAAAACAAGGGCATTGCAGACAAATGGCCCAACTTTATGTTATACAATATAACGGGACTAAGGAAATCAGAGCGCAACATCAACCGCAATGCTAATAATAACTCTGTCTCATAAGCACGCCATCACAGAATCAATTTCACTGCACACCATCTCAGTTACACTGCCATCAATTCGCCAGCAAAAACGGCATGACGCTATGCGACTGATAAGAGTCGTTAAATTTTTAAAATTTTGGAATAGCTAGCTAGCCGTAGCTATGCGCCTGTTTCCACTCTACAACTCTAAAAGCGCATTAATATGATAATTTTAACTAAAGGCAACTTTATATGTGCTCAGCTATGTTTTTTTCGACAAGCTCCATGTAATGATATACATATTAATCGTTTTAATGAGATCTAATCTTGTGTGAGTTTTGAGTTTGAATTGATAACACTTATTATATATATTATTTTTTGAGTAAACATTGGCTGGTACTTCCGGCCGGTCCCCAACTAAAAAACCTGCTCCCCTTTTGGCCCCAAATTAGGTGATTTTAGAGGATGTATCCTCTCTAGTAAACTCTAGTAAAATCTCTGAAAAAGTGTGTTTCTAAAGCAAAACATGCAGTTTTGCTAGTACTTCTGTTAAGTTTTTCAAAATTGTCCCACTTTCAAACAACGATTTGGTGCCCCCCTAAGATGGCGCTGCATTTCTTGTTTAAATTATATTTAAACCCTGTTTAAAAGTGTTTAATTAATTAATACTTTCCAAGGTTTTCTCTGCTGGCAAACTACAGATGCAATGAGACAAGAATCGCTTGATGAAATTTTAACTCACTATGCCACCACCAAATCACTTGAAGATAGACTCGGTGTAGCAAAAAGGCTGCTGAAATATGCAAAAAATTCACCCAGTCTGCCACCATCAAAACAAAATATGTTGATGTCACAGCGGTCGCTATTGCACGATTTCTGGGAGCTCTTAAAACCAGACTGCATTCAACGACGTCAAGGCATTGATCAGTCAGAAAGTCTGTACGAACTACACTGTATTTCTTTGGAAATACTTACCCATTTCAATCAAAAGAAGTATAGGTTTCTCAACAACCATCTTCTCACTGTTCAGAACATTCATGTTCTTGATGACTTGCTAATGTTAAACTCAATCAATGCTCATGAACCATGTTGTGTCAAAGCTCTTGAAGCTAGTTGGGCTACGAAAACTGTTGAAAAAGCTCGTGAGGTCATGTGTGGCAATGTATATGATGCACTCTTTGATGAACCTAATGAAGATAACATATACGATGTGGAGCTTCTCGCTGAAGACACCGGGGAGAATGTTGTTGACTTGTTATCAAAAGAGTGTGATGTTGAAGTCAACAATCTGACCCTAAATCTAAAGTCACCCAATACTTTTTCAGAGACAGTTAAGGTAGTTCATGTGGTGAATCCTCAGTTTGTTTGGGTGCAGGAGTTATCAGATGACATCTTAGAGATCAACCAAGATTTAGCTGATCACATGGCTTCTGCTGCCATCCGGGCCACAAGTCAAGACACTCAGGTTGTAGTGCGAATGAAAAAGTTGAATTTTCGAGGTCAGGTTTTGGCTTGGAAGGTTTCTTCTGTGCTTGTCTTTGCTATTGATTATGGTTGGCAGTCGGAGGTACCTCACTCTTACGTTTTTACTGCAGAAGAACACATTTTTGAGATTCCGTCTCTTGCAAAATTGTGTAGGATAATCAATTTGGTTGCTCCGTGCAAAAAAACCAAACTACAGGTGAGGGTGATCAAATTGCTGCAAACAGTGACCAGTTCTGAACCTTTTGCTGGAACCCTCCTAAAAAACCATTTAGATCCAATTGTCGAGCTAGTCAAAACAACTAGAAATGGAGTCCTCTTGTGTAATGCTCTCCTATACTTTTCACAACTTTGCTTTTATTCCAAACACAGTGCTGTATGTGGCGAGCTCATGATTAAACCCACCCTTTCTTGCATTCAGCAGTGGTTCTTTTGTACTGAAGTGCTAGCACAAGGATTAGAAGTTATGAGAAATCTCATTGCAAATAGCGAGAAGAATAGGGAGATGTTCATTTTTTGTGGTGGTTTAGAATTTGCTTTTAATGCGTATGCCACCTACTGCAAAGAAGAATCTGTTCATTCTCAAGTTCTGCACGTTCTGAAGTATTGTTTGGAAGAGTATGAGTTTGAATCCAGTACTTATCAAGTTTATTCCATCGAGAATATCATCTCCTCAGAAAACCGGTCTGAAGACAAAGTTGTATTTTCTCATCTTAGTAGTATGTCTCAGTACAACATAGAAACTTCAGATTTCGTTTCTTTCATAGAAAACATTGCAAAACAGCAAGATCTAGTGGTATTCGCTAGAGAAGTTGTTTCATATTTGAACAGTGCGGAAGGCGGTACTATTTACATTGGAGTCACATATCAAGGTCTTGTAAACGGTTTGTTGATGAACCGAGCCCGTAAAGATGAGCACAGAACTAAAATCGACATGGTTATTTCAAAGATGGTTTCAGATTACAAACTTACTGAACTTCCTAACCAACTCGTTGACTGCTCTTTTCAAAGGGTTGAAAACATTCACAAGCGGGCTATGCCTCAGGATACGTCCATGTACCTTATTAAAGTTTTTGTTACCCCTGGGCGGACTCTTTCTCGTTTGAGAGAGGGTGATTCCAATGTGTTCTTCAAAAGAAGACACGGGTGTGTGGTACCAATATCAGCAAACGAGCTGAGGCAACAAATAGCTTGTCAAGGGAACGACAAAAAACAGTTACCTGACTTAGCTAAACTAAATGTGTCTAGAAGAGAACCAATTATTGGTGTAAAAACTGATGTGTCAACAGTTACCATGACAACTGATGTGTCAACAGTTACCATGGCAACTGATGTGTCAACATCAGATCAATCACATTTCCTACATTCTGAGGTTACAGATAACATTGCAGCCAGTAAATCGGAGGACAGGGTTAAGAGTTTAGGACCACCCCCTCTAGTTCCAATTAGTCATCTAAGAAATAATTGATCAGGTTTTGTTTTTAAGTTGCTTTAATTTCAAAACTTAATGATTTCAGTGCGATAATTCGATTATTAGTTGAAATAAAAGGCTTGCTTCAATTTCAATTTTAAATTACACATTTTAAATTATACTTTTGTCATTTCCGGGTTATATTCCTTCAAAATAAATGATTACGTATTAATCATTATTATATATATGACCGTAGGTCATATTTTTAATAAATTTTCATATTTTTAACAAACGTTCATTACTTATAATGTTATCTCGTGTGGTTTCATTTATCTGCAGCATATATATATTATAGATAAGTTATGATACAATCAATTACAAAATAACTAATAACAATGAAAAGCACAGTTTATTATAAAGCCAAATCATTTACCAGTGGTAGCCTCTGAATTCTTCGTTTGCCCGATATCGTCATCACCATTCACCACCACAGCTCTGACTTTATGACAACATTCAAACGTTTATTTTTAAACCGGCTCAATTTTTTTGGGCACAGATTGTGTTGGTTTGCTTACTTGCTTACTAAATTTGATTATTTTTCAGGTGGATATATAATGGCAAGTGTAATACTTCTACTCTCCTTTTCTCTTCTATTGGAAAGAAGTCAGGGGTATGTAGACGAATCACCTGACCCTGATTTCGCTCCAAAGCAATCTCTTGACAACCCAGAAAGAAGTTCTAAAAACGTGGAAAAGAGTGAACATGAAAAGAAAAGTGATTTAAGCAAACCTATGAGACTTGCAGGACACTACAGATTTTTAATAAAAGAAATCCTGAAACGAGACTTGTTGTCCAATTCTGAAAAAGAACTTTTTGAAAATGCAGATAATGTTGATCCTTATTCAATCGCAGAAGCAATTTTACGACTGATCCCTGATCTGCCAGAAGAACACTCTCAGAATACTGAAACCCTCTCTTGGTCCCTACACAATCTGAACCAAGATACTTTTCAGAAACTCGCTGTTACTTATGCCATTTCAATATTTAGCTTGGGTTATTTGAACAAGAGATGTCGACACTTCCTTGTATCACTTCACGCGATCCTGTTGTATCTGTATGCCGTGTACTCTCGCATCAACCTCCAGTACAGTGAAATCAGGGGACGGAAGTTGGCTACAATCAGCAACCTACCAAGCCACTGTAAAGAGGAGTTTAGCATTTCCAGCTTCCTCTCCCGCACCTGGTCCGTACTACAAATAGGAGACAAATGTGTTAAATATCACCAGCAAGTTTTAACAGACCCTCTGTACGAGATACAGTATCTAAAGTGCTTCTTCTACCCTCTGGTATCAAGTCTGTTAACCCCTCTAACAGTTCTAGGTGAAGAGCTGGGACCCTTCCTGGAGAACGTGTTGAACCCTTTCCCATTCCACCTACAAGTATTCGTCATAGCGTTTGTTAGTGTTGTCATGGGCGGTCTGATGACTACAGTTGTAACTGTAGCTAAACAGAGACCAGGCTCTTCAGTAACCGCACAAACTGAACTTAAGGCACAGTTAGCACAAACTGAACAATTAGCTCTGATTCACAAGGAGGTAATGCAGGAGCTGGTAGTAATGAAGAGAGACGTTACTGAGTTGAAGAACAGTGTTAGTTTCAGTGAAGTGACTAGTTGTCATGGTAACTGCACTACTGAAGTGACTGATATAATGCTGCTCAAAGAAAGACGAGAAGAAGAGAGACTCTTCTTTAGAAGTGCAGAGACCTGAGTCAGTGCTGTAGAGATCTGTTTATAAGTATTCTCTTACAAATTAAAACCCACTAATAGTGTTTAGATGGTAAAACCTAAATCAATAGGCTCTATGTAATATTATAAGAAGCACGTTTAATGTAATACTCAATTTTTGATATTTTATTTTCGACATTTCTGTGGTTTCTAGCTTTAGTTGTCATATTGTTATTTTTTGTTAGAAAAAGAAATTTAAGATTCTTAAATCTTTTAGATTTGTTATGATTATTTTATTAATGATTTTAAAAAAAAAGATTATTTAGGATTTATTTTATCCATGTGGACCGTGGTGCAAAATTTAAGTCATAAATTTGCTTCTCAAAACATAAAACAATCTGATTTTGATCTTCTGACTTTCTTTGTATTATTTTTTGACGAAACTCGTACAATATAAATGCAACAGTTATTTCTTTTTCTTTAACTTCAGCTGTAACAGGCCCTCAATTATACATACCCAGGCACATCTTGTGGTTTGGCGGCCGCCACCGCACGAAATCTTACTGTATAAAGTCAACTGCGCGGCTCTGATAGCGGTTACTGTTGCGCGCGTTTTGGCACGTGGTAATTGTTAATTTGAAGGAGAATGAGGTGGAATTGTATTTTAAGTAAAGAAATCAATTTTTATTTGAACTACCCACTTAGGGGCCATCCTCTTAGAACATTCGCCAAAATCCGGATTTTCCAACAAATTTTTATAGCAAATAAAAATAACTTAAATTCACTAGTAAAATGCAGGTAGTATATCTGTTAGTGAAGTCAATCCCGATCGAAATAATCAATCCCTGGATTCGGGAATCACAAGCAACAAAAATCCCGGGATTCCCGAAAACTGGGAATTTCCCGGGATTCCCGAAAGCAAATGGCGCTCATCTTGAAGTCCCATTTTGTGTAATAAAGTCATGTCCATGCCATGACCCAACTTTTATTTTTATGGTTGTACTTGTAGACTGTTTCAATAGTACATTCATAAAAGCTGCCTCTTCATGTCACAAGCAGATACCACAAGTGTCATTATTAGCCTTCTTTTCTTAAATAGTACCTTAAGACTACTATTGCACAAACAACTTGGACCCATTCTATTAGTATTACGGAATTTTGTATGCATCCTGCCAGCTATTGAAAATGGAAAAGGTCAGTCCAGGCTCAATCGATCTTACCTGGGGACCCCAGGCTATTATGTTCATATTAAACCGAATAAAGATTCGGCGGAATGGCAGGCTGAGCGCCGCCCAGTAAAATCGATCAGGACGGCCTGACCGTTTTTATAGCAGCGTCCATAAATGCCAGGATCTTCCCTTAACCCCTGGTTGGGTGAAACAACTCATCTCCATTTTAATAGAGATACGTACTTTTGGCTGGCTGGCTTCAGGACTGCTGGGTTGTGGGTGAATCTTTTGTTTCGTCTAGAAACTCATATAGCGTTATATTTTTGTTTTTCTTAACCTGGACGATACAGACTAACTAAATTGCAGTAAATTCATTCGAATATTCTTACAGTCACCAAGATTTGACTAGGTCGAACGGAAAAATTAGGTCTCGACTCTCACGCAGGAATTAGGTCTCAAGCAGGCGCGGCAGAGCAACGATCTGGAAGGGTTGACACTTGACATCGTCAATCAACTAAACAGTTATACTTATAGTTGCAAATCTTAAAATATGCGAATGAATTGACCGCAATATTTATATAGTTACACGATTGACGGT